AGTAAGTGCAGCTATGCGCAGCTCATGAAAAAACACATTTCATGAGTAAGTGCAGCGAGGCCCTTACAGTTAACGGTCGTCGAAACGAAACAAGCGCTCGAAGATTCAGGAGTGCTTGGCTGCAAGGTGTTCTTTTTCAAGGGTAGTCTCTGGGACCCTTCATGAACTCTGCTTTTTCGAGACGTGGTCTGTAGTCTCGGCTGCCATTGTGTGGGAGGTGGCGATGGTGTGGTTGATTGGCCTGCGGCTTCTTCGACGACCACCAATTGTCCAACGTGCTAGTCTCGCCACGTGGCGCGCGGGGCTATTGGCTGATGTGGTGGATGTTGGGGGGGGGGGGGGGGGGGGGGGGGGGACAATGGTGCGGTTGACGGTTCTGCGTTTTTTTCAGCGACCAATGATTGTCCACGTCTTTGCCTCGCCACGTGGTGCGCAACGCAGCTGGCCGGTGCGGTGAATGTGTACACGCGTCGATGGTGTGGTTGACGAAAAATATGGCTTCTTCCACGGCCACTCACTGTGGAATGTTGTTATCTCGCCACTTGGCGTGCGGGCCAGCTAGCCACTGTGCTGAATTTCTGCCATTTGGGCTGATTCACGGTCCATGGCAGCCGACTGTTATCCCGCTTTTCTACTTCGGCGACCCATCAAGGTGTGTTGCCCAGTTGATGGCACCAGTGACCCTCCACCTTCATTTTACACATCTATAACGACGGGGGTTCGGTTTCGTGATAGGCAAGGCGTGTGGCCAGTATATTGTGTGGCCGCGTAGTGTGTAGACTTCTGTGTTATCACTGTTTTAGGGTGGGAAGTGTTAGCAGCGATAGGATGCGGAAGATTGATACAGTTAATTAATGACTGCTTTCATTGTGAGAGTTGTCTTCACGGGAACTTGTTTCGTTCGGTGATGGGCGTCGATTTTAGCGTGGATATCGCATTTCCGATCGATGCTATCTTGTGAGGTGCCGAGTCCTCTGTGCTTATCAGTTTTGACCTTCGTTCTTCGTAATTTGGATTCCTCTTCTGTTTCTTTTGTTCATGACATTCATGTTGCCATGAATGAATCGACCAGTAGCATGACGGTTGCTTGGGGTGGTGGATGATGAGGGGGTGGATTTGGGGGTTTGATGGGCAATGATGGCTGCATGCACACACACACACACACACACACACACACACACACACACACACACACACACACACACACACACACACACACACACACACTACCGCACTCGAAAAAAACAACCGATTATACCGCACACCTCAATCCTTTGCTGTCCACCGTCCACGTGGTTCCATAGTGGTTGAGAAGGGGGGATGGGTCAGAAAGGGAAATGGAGAAGGGGGATGGGGGAAGGGGTAAACCCCGCTTCAGCTCTATCCTCCAGATCTCGCGCGCCCTGTATCCGGGCGGACCGTCTCGCCGAATTGCGGGAAGGGCGTGGCAATTCCCTAAAGCGCTTTTCTGCCCCATGCCACGTGGGGCGTCATCAGAGGGGGGGGCATCTTCCATGATCTTTGGAAGGCGAGGGGGGCGAGGGGGGGCGAGGGGGGGTGTGTCGAAACAAGGATGATGGATGGTTTTGAGGGCGAGGGGTGAGGTTCGTCGAGAGGGAGAGGGGGGAAGAGGGTTCATGTGGCAAGGAATGGGGAAGGGAGTGGATGAAGTAGAGAAACGAGAGGAAGGAGAGGACGGAGAGGAAGGAGAGGAACGTCAAAAAGACGCATGACGAAGTCTCTGCTGCCGATCTATGCTCCATTGCTTCGGAATCCGCTCCTTGCTACCTTCCCTAGCTAATCCGCAAATCCGCGTGCGGCGCCGAGCTCAAAGAAAGGGCAGCAGCAGCATGTGAGGAAAAGAGTTATGAAGCAGACGGTGCTCGCTATCAGCGCCGCAAAGCGTTTAGCGGAAACGCAAAGAAAAACTTGCTCCGAGAGGCATGCAGCAAAGAGCGCGCAAGCTATGGCGAGATTCGGAAGCAGCGCGAGGAGGAGGAGGAGCAAGAAGGCAATATTTCACGCGAAGGGGGATGGGCGAGGCACAGCAGGTTCGGTTGGGCAGGTGGAGGCGGTCTGCATGATGCTTGGCCAAGGTGTGCCTAGGCGCAGGGCCGTGAAGGCAAAACCAGAAGGGTGCCACTCGTCGGGGACGTTACCACTTCCAGTGACTTCCTCCAACTCTTGTCATTCCTCCTCGAGGTCCCAGTCGGCGAAGAAGTCCATACCGTCCGCCACTAGGCTCAACCTTGTCGAGCGCAAAACCGGAACGCACCGTGCTCTACTCGTTGTCTGAACACAATCACCGCACGGTGGTCGGATGAATAGAACCCCTGCTTTCTGTTCTGATATAGCCGCGGTTCTGTTCCAAATGTGAAAAGGACAAAAATGTGGTGGGCGCATCTGGTCATGTTTTAGCCGGAAGTTCATTCTCATTTTGCACGTTTCGAGAGTGGTGTGGGGACGCCCCTTTTGTGGTACCGGTACCACAAAAGTCGAAACGTTACTGGTACCGGCCTTGAGCAGCTTCGGCAAAATCTGGTGCGCAGGGGGCGTGTTGGTTCGGCTGGTGGTTTAAAGAATGTCATTTTTTATCCTCAAGGGCCTCCAGGGGTATCCTATCCGTCGAGTGAGGCCAATCCGGCCCAAGGGCAGGGATCGGCCTCAGCCCAAACGGATAGAGAAAAAAAAAGGGGGGCCTCAAAACAAAGGGACCAATGGCGTTCGACCACCAGTACCTCGCCCAGCTTAACGCGCCGCGTCGGACGGAGGTCGTTGAGCACGGAACCGGTCGTTCATTTTTCACTGCTACAGTGCACAAAAAAAAAAAAAAAAAGAAAAAGAACTTGGCTGAGTGAATGGCCGTCGAGGAAACAATCTCTACAAGCCGTGATCCCACCTAGTCTTTGTTGAAACGGACCTGCCAGGGATTTAGGATAGATTCATTTTTTAGTTTTCTTTTTTTGTTTGTTCTTTTCCTTTTTGATAGATTCGCCTGCCAGTCTGGCAGGTTGTTTTCCGTGAAACGCTCGCAGGCCCGCCTACTGGGCGTACCTACAGTGGGACTGCGAAGAATGTATCCAGATGATTTTATGGCCAAAGCGGTGGTATGTTGTTTGCTTTTTTTTTGTGGTCCTTCTAGATTCTGACGACCACGTCGGTTCTTTTTTTTTTGTCTTCTTCTGCTGAATAGATCCTAGAGGGCGTGCTCATATTTCCACTTCCGAGAATGCACCCAGCTGCGTTTACGTCCCTAGCGAGGGTTCATTTTTTTCCTTTTTCTTTCTTTACTTTTGGTACTGCTTGCCCCAGCCTCAGCCCGTTCTGCTACTGGTAGTGCCAGGCTCGGCAGGCTCAGCATACCGGTAGCCTGAGCCACGGGCCTTAACAAAAAAATGAAGAGAATTCTTCAAACGCTGTACTCTTCATTTCTGCAACCATAGTGAGTGTCACTCATATACCCTTTTTTTTGGGGGGGGGGGGAACAAGGCTCCAATCTATTCGTGGGGACCAGCTCGTGCTGGGAACCGGGCCCAGCGTCCCATATAGAAATTTACATAAAGATTTAAAAGTTTGAGATACCGGGGCCATTACCCCGGCTTCGGCTAAGAAAATTGGGCTACTTAGAAAATCACTACGACAAAACCTCAAAATAGGCAAAGTTCAGAAACGACTCAGAAACCCCCCATCAATCCTCTTTACCTCACTCCCGCAAGACTTACTGCAGCAGTGCCACCATCTCCCCTTAGCCTGCCTATCTTATTCTATTTACACAGGCCTACACGGCCTGACACCGGCCTCAAACGGCATATTGGAACCACTGTTCCGAGTCTCCGTGGCATGCGACCTCCTCCTCCGTTTTCTTTGTTTTTTTTTTTTATGTTTCTTCTCTCAAGTTTTTTTTTTTTTTTTTTTTTTTTTTTTTTTCAATAAAACAACCCGAACAGGTGCTAGGGATGCTTGTACGAGCAGGCACCACTAGCACTATCGGGGGGGGTCCATCTATTGGTGGGGAGCAGCACCTGCTGGAAAACGGGTCCAGCGTCCACCTGAACATTGTGGTTGTTTATATGAATGGACGTGATTGTAGCAGTATTAGTTAAGATAAGCCCTTAAACCCTAATGACTGTCCATCTTCCAACTGCCCGGGGTGCAGTCTTGTGGACTGCTGTGACAGTTGGATGTGTATTGTGTAACTGTGGGGCTGATGTGGGGTCGGTCCACCACCCCCTGTCCCCTCCCTCCCAAAACCCATGATGTCTTGTGCAGTGCTGTGACAGTGTGAGGTGTATTGTGTAAATATGAAGCTGATGTGGGGTGGCTTCCGCCACCCCTCATTCCCTCCCTCCCATATAGTACCCTTTCTATCCTATCCTGCTGCTAGTGGGCAAAAAAAAAGAAAAGGAGAAAAAAAAGGATGATTTTTTCTGTGGGCCTCGCCACACCACTGTAGAAAACACGAAAAATAAAATAAAAGGAGAAAAAATAGGATGATTTATTCTGTGGGGCTCGTCACACCACGTCACACCACGGTAGAAAAGAAGATTTTCGACAGTTCCTCTTGGCCACACAGCCTGTTTATAAATGCGTGGGGCCGGGCAGTTAAGTTATTATATCTCAAACCGGTTACCGTTTTTGTTTTTTGTTTTTTATTTTTATTATTTTTTTGAAAAAGAGGAACCACCGTTTTTTTTCCCTAAGAGAGAGTTTTTTTTCCCTAAGAGAGAGAGAGAGAGTAAAAGAAGAGACAGGAAAGAAAGGGAGGAAAAGGCCTTTGAGAGGAAATTCCTTTTCCTCCCTTTCTTTTCTTTCTCCCTCTCTCTTTGAATAAGAAGATAACGGTGGGAGAAAAAAAGGTGGGAAAAGGGGGAATTGCAAAGAGAGAGAGAGAGAGAGAGAGAGAGAGAGAGAGAGAGAGAGAGAGAGAGAGAGAGAGAGAGAGGGGGAAAAAAAGAACGCGCAGCAGTGCGCAACTACGCTTCGACGGTAGAGTGATCCGTGCTAGAACACTACTACCCTTCGGCCGTAGAGTGATCCATGCGAGAACCCTATAAATGGCATCGCTGCTGAGTGCAGGCCACCACACCGTGTGGAGTGTTTCTTACGCGGCGAGAAACAAGGAGAAGAGGTGGCCGCCACTGAGAACCCCCACAAAGGTACGGAATCACTATACTCCTGTTGAACCTGTTCCCTATTGTGGGTTCAGGCAGAGGCCGCAGATCTCTCTCTCTCTCTCTCTCTCTCTCTCTCTCTCTCTCTCTCTCTCTCTCTCTCTCT